AACTTTCTGAAGTGATGTTCTGGCAAACGTGAATAACCAAGGTCATTTGCCTTTAGGCCTCCGTTCACGTGAACTTTCTTATTAGACATACTGGTGGGGCACACGCGCGTGCGTGGGTATGCACACATCCCTTTCCTGGAACTCTGTTTAATTTCTCATTGTTGTGGAGGCGGTACTTGTTCTTGTGCTTGAATTCCTCGATGAAGAATACATACTATTTTAAAATGGCCTTAAATTACTTAAAATATGAGATGCTATATTCCATTAAGTGTTTGCTAATTAGATAAACACCTCCCCAACAGTTAAGTCAGTGCTTACTCAACTGTGGTTGCCTCAAGGTCAAAGAGGCAGTAAGGTGCAGTGGATACAATGTGTTTCTAGGGCGGAACTGTTTGGTTTTAAATTACTTCTTTCCACTTGCAAGCTGTGTATAAGGTTGGGCAGTTTTTCCAACCCCTTTGTGTATATCCTTACCTATAAAATTTGTCTGCACACAGACCATTTAATTGCAGTCAAGCTATGATGTTACCTACGAAGCACAGAGACGTAAACCACCCTGCACAGGCAGTCTGGTTCTGGAGTCAGTGTCTAAATCAGTAATTCCAGAATTAAAGATATTGTTAGAATGCAAGCTGTTTCAGTCGCCCCAGGGTGAGACCTGAGATGCTGCGTTTCTGACCTGCTGGGGGGGGGGGGTGCTGCTGCTCTACACCCACTCTGAGGAGCTGGACTGGACCAGCAGCTAACTAGCACCCACCCAGGCCATCTGCAGGGCTGTTCAAACAGACGGGTGCACCCCCCCCCACCAAAGTCTGAGTTCATGGGTGGGTCCCGGGAATTCGCATTTCTGACAAGTTGACCAGGTCTGGTGAGCCTGAGAACCACATTGCTGTCATTGCCCTGCCTTCCTCATGTGGTTAGGAGTAAAACAAAAAATCCAAATGTTTAACGACAGCCCTTGACCAAACAGAATAGCACTTGGCCTGCCAGAAGATGGTCCAGCTTAATAAAAAACATGATTGGTGTAAGAAATTAAATAACATAGAATATATGGAGCTTTTATTATTAGCACGGTACTCAGCACACAGTGCTAGTTAATGTTTTTCATCAACAAAAGCGTTGACAGTTTTTACTCCAGGATATAACAGCAGCACAATAGGCTAAGTCACTTGGTAAACCTAAGGCAGAGACTTACGGGACGGAGGGGTTACATGGTGGGTGGGCGAGAAGGAATTTGAAAAGGACGTGATCTGAAAACTCAGATTCAGCCTACCTATTCTTACAGTATCAACTCAGGAAATAATTATTAAAATCTTAACTGGTGGGGATACACAGGCAAAAAACCCCAAGCAATCGATAACCTTATGTGAGGGAATAGAGAAGCTTACATTTTTAACCTGGTTTTCTTCTGAATTTCTTCCAAAATACACCACTGGTCCTTTAGAGCTACAAGATTGCCCCTTGGACAGAATGGCAGGTGTCTGTCTCGGAAGTCACTGGCCTGGTCAACTGAAAGTAGCTAGCACGGTTAGGGGAGTGTGCTTTGTCAAACAGGTGCTTTTCTGAAGTACTTTGGTACTTATAGGGCATCTGCTATATTTTCTGCTTACTGTTATATTTTTATTTTTCAGTATTTTCATAAAGTTGCTGGCCAGCTTTTACCTCTTGCATATAATCTGTTGAAAAGGAATCTCTTTGCAGAAATTATTGAAGATCACCTGGCAAACAGAAGTAAAGAGAACATAGACCAACTTGTGGCATGAGTGAGAGTTGGCTTTCCTTGGTGTACTATTTTAAAGCATTAATATTAAACTTGTGATTTTTTTGTTTGTTTTTAAGGGGTACAGAAAAATAAATCGATGGAAACATTTACTGAAACTTTTGTAAGTCTCTTCTGGCCTGGACTTCTTTTTTATATGTAAATAAATGGTAGTCAAATCATCTAAATGGTGAGGCCCTGAAATCACATTTGAAAGAAAATCATCATATTATCTATCCTCTCCTTCCAGGGAGTCTTATTTTGGTATTTAATACGGGCAACTAAGAATTTAGTCCTAAGACTTGAGTTAATAATTGCTGTAGACTGACGGACTGGATTTAAGGAAGGCAGGAAGGGCGTAAGGGAAAGAAACTCCTGACACTGCCCAGCAGTCTCCCAGAATGGAGTGCCTGGCCTCGATCCAGTGAAACTGCCGTGTTAACCACCTCCTGGGACTCATGTGTCACCCTTCAATCAGTGCAGTCACCCCACGTGGAATAGTCTTTAAAACGATTCTCCTTTGACTCAGTCTGTATTTACTAGTCAATATTGCATAGTCTATTGATAGAGTATACAAATCAATATAACAATTTAAAATTTGGTATTTCATTGCAAATTACTTCACTGGACTTGCAGTACAAATCTGTGGATAGCTGTGTTTTTACCAGATTCAGATCCTCATTAAATCTGACAAAATGTGCTTCACTTTAAAAACAGAGCAAACAGTTCTTTGTTTGCAAACAGCAAACTACGTGGATTAGGCTAAAGAGCATTATTATAAGCTCTTTCCCATTCAATGTGAGGTTCAAGTTACCTAGTTTAGTGCCCACATTGTGAAGACTGACTCGACTTACCCGAAGGATTTCTGTTGAACAGTTTCCAGTTACTTACCCTGTGAGCTGTGTCCTTAAACAGATGTTAGGAGAACTTTTTTTAATTGGTAGAAGGAATAAGTGGACTATTAAAACACTTGCAGTCAGGATTTTAATTGAGTGGCATGCCTCACCTCCAGTTATTTTTTTTTTATGTGTAGCCCTCTCAGGACCAAACCTTTGACTATATGTGGCTGGAGGGAAAAAAAAACCCGTAAAGATGGACGTGCAGCTGCCCATCAGTCCTACTTCATGTCTTTCATGCAACCCTCCATCTTCAGTATATTTCACTAAGAAAACAGCCATCAAAGTAACGTCCACGGAATCTCACCATGCTCCTAACTGCCCACTGCTCAGTCCTAGGCTTGTTGCCAGCGTGCCGCCACGGGCCTGCGGTGCCTTCTCCCCACTCTAGGACCTCTCTGGGCCCATCCACCGTCCCTCCCACACATTCACACCTACAACAAAAGCTCTAATGTCCTGCATCCTAAAGCACTCTGTTGTGCGTCCCCTTTCTGAAAAACTCAGGAAGAACTGTAACACCTGCCTTTAATTCCTCCCAGTCTCTGGCAGACTTCCTCCAACCAGACTTCCACATGACCCCACTGGAACTGCTTTGGTCACACTCATCGGTTACCCCGCACTGGCCAATTTTCAGGCCTCATTCACTTGATGGATCAGCAACATCTGACAATTGAGCCTCCTTAAAACCATCATTCATTTGGCTTAGGGGACTATCCTTGTCTAAATGGCACAACTCCGCACCCTCCCTCACTGGATGCTCCGTCTTCTGCTGTCTCCGCATCTCCCATCTAAACATACACACAAATGCATCAGTGCTCAATCTGCTTCTGTCCACTCAATCCCACGGTGTCTCATCTTGTCCCAGAGCCTCTCCCATAGTACTGAGACCTTAGACTAGACCAGAGGGTTTTGTCTGGGCCTGAGTCTCATGTATACAACTGCCTACTTGACACCCCATTTGGAAGTCTGTCATTTAAAACGATGCAGAAAACCAAAATGGTTTTCTACAACCAAAATGGTTCCTCTGTACACATCCCCAGATCTATCCGTGATGCCTTCCGCACTTCAGTCAGTGGCCATTCCATCCATTGTTCTGTACACAGGCCAAAACCATGGCAACCTCCCACACGCCTCGTCTCACCACGTTCAATCCCTTAGCACATCCTGTCCGTTCCACCTTCAACACGTCGGATCCAACCACTCTAACCGCCTCCACCAGCTCGTCAGGTTCAACCTCTACCGTGGTTTACCCCGATTATTCTAAGAGCCTTCTAACTGGCCATACAGCTTCTACCCCTGCCCCCTTATTTCCAGCAAAGCAGCCAGAGAGATCATGTCATTTTCTGCCTCACTGGCTTCCCAATTTATTCAGAATAAAAGCCAAATTCCTACACACCCAACCTCTTTCATCCTATGCTCCTCCGCCTCCAGCCACACTGACCTACTTACGTCTTCCCTGTGCCTGTGGGGCACACCCCACACCGCAGGGTCTCAGCTGTGTTTCTGCCTCTGAGGACAGTTCTCGCAGACAGCTGCATCGTCCCCTCACTCTCTCCAGGTCTCTGCTCAAAGGTGCCCTTATCCCCGAGACCTTCCTCGATCACCCTCTACATATAAAGCAGCATCCTCCCCATTACTTTTCTCTGTGCAGATTCTGTCTGACTTACCGCATGCCTATGACAACGTGCAGCACAGAGGAATCAGCTTTTAAAATCCGCTGAATTCATGGTTTTATCACCTTCTGACATATGTATGCATCTCTTTCCCTACTGGAATGTAAGCTTCAAGAACACAGGATAGTGCCTAGGTACACAGTAAGTGTTCAATAAATTCTTAGTGAACGAGCAAATGAAATGAATGATACAAGATCTATCTTTGAATTTTTGGAAAAGTGTTCTCTTTACTAAAAGTTTAATATTAGAAGACTACTGAAATCTTTTAACAATTCACGTTACCACCTCCTTTTAGGTAGCTCTATTAGCAAATTTCCAAGGTAAAATTTAAAATGGAAATCATTTACATGTTTTCTCTTCATGCAAATAGCATAATATTTCTTTAAAAAGGTTAAAAAACCACGGTTTTGAAAGTAAACCAAAACGAAATCTTTCAATACACCTGCAACTTTCACTGCAGTGGAGGCTCCGCACTGTTGCTACTATGTACTGAGTATGTATCTTGCTGTTCAATCCAGCATCTGCTGTGCCGTGGCTCCGCGCCTGCCAAGTGCAGACGTGGCTTCACACAGACCACCCTTTGAGGCTGCATGTGGCAGCTACTGGCCTACGCTGCACAGAGCAGTAACGTGGGAGGACTGTCACAGATATAATTAAAGGCCAAACCACAAATTGTCATACAGATTTTAATAGATATTCTGATTAACTCATCACAGTAATCATTTTTACTGTAATGATACGCAGCTTTGCTACACTAGTATAAATGAAAACAGATAAATACAGCTCTAGGCAACATCACAGATTAACAAACTAAGCGTTCTTCATGAACCAAACTGAAAACAATTATTAAGAGATGCTGACAGCCTTGCCCATTCTCATCATACCTTCTCAAAAAGGGTACTCAAATAAGGCGCTCCACTCACTCCAGCAGTCAATTTGTCAATCAGCTAGGCACATGTATTTCATGGTCTCCACTATTCATGGTTTGGTTAAAAAGCAGACACCTCAACATATCAAAAAGAAAAATGGGACAGATCAGAATACCAAAGAAAACCACTGAATGCATAAAAATATGGCACTTTTCCTGTATTTCAACTGTAAGACACATCAAGGTGGAAACAAATCAAGGAAAAAATTACTATCCACCCTGAAATGTCAGTCTCTGAAGCAGGATGGGCAACAAAAGGAGATCCCAAAATCAAAAAAGAAAACATGAAAAAAGAAATCCATGTGAAGTTCAATGTTATGAAGCTATCTATCTGCAAAGCTCATCTCTCCCTTGACGGCTTGTAACTGAGGACAAGCAAGTTATTCAGTAGCCGGTCCTGCGGGGCTCCCACTCTAGCAGTGCCTTGCACACTGCAAATGCACTCAGACAAACTGGAGGTAAGTTATACAGGACTATCATTTAGAAGTTATTCCAATCTGCATGGTCAAATAAACTTGGAAAGGCCACCAAGGAAACCGGAAGTCTGCCAAAGTGGGGAATGTCTTGGAGAAAATTCTAATTTTAGGCAGCTAGCAAAACTAAGCATGTTTCACAAAATTGCTAAAATTTTGCTCAACTTTCAACTGTTATTCTAATATGGCTTCATGATCTTATAAATCTTCAAGATCTTACAGATATATTATTATCATTAAAAGCCAGGAAGAGAGATATTTCCAAAGAGCAGCTCATTGCCAATTGTTTCAGAAAATGTCGGTCTGCAGAAATTTCACTTTCTGACCCAGAATGCATAATCACAGATATTTAGGCCAGTCCTTCAGGTAAAACTGCCTTTGCCAACAGTGAACTCAGATCATGATTAAGACAGACATTTCCAAAAACAAAAATCCCCAAAACACCCCCATACCTTTTCAATTCATCCTGCGAAAATGTGCACTGTGGCCAGTCAAAATGTCACCGAACAGAACACTTCTGGATGCGATGTACCCAAAGATTCAAAGCTTATGTTCAGATTATGATTTTAACTGCTACCTTTGCAATTTTATTGTTTCCACTTGATTTTCTTAAAAGGTAAACACTATTTAACATTTGATTTTAACCTGCAAAGTGATGTGTAGTGTTTCCTCACTCCAGTTAATGAGTCAGAATGGACAGGGCGGAGGGTGGCAGTGAAGACCAGAGAAAGGGTTATGTACACACTGGACCAGAGAGAAGCTGCCACCGCCTCACGTACACCCTCCTTCCCACTGTAAACTTTGTTCATATCTCCATATTTGTAAGTCTGAATTAGTCTATAAAAATTGCATTAAAAAGGTAAAATTATTTAAGTGAAATATTAACTGATCTGTATTTTATAAATTTTAATCCATAAAAATATAAATAAGAATGGTAAATTTTTAGGAGAAGAAATATACATTTAGTGCAAGTTATGAATTACATTTCTTCAGTGTCAGCAGTAAAATATCTTGAGGAAAGAAAAAAATGACTGATCATATTTCAAGAAAAAAGATTCCAGTGTTTAAACATGCAGTTAATACCGATACAGCTAGACAGGCTATTTCCTTCTCTTTACCGACAAAGCAGCAACACTGTCTCCTTACGCCACACTGCACTTGCATATCATAGTAGTTTTAGAGACAGGAAATATGCGTAAGACCAGGCCACATTACCCATGAAGTCTGAGAGAAAAAAAAAGAAAGAAGACTTTATCCGTACAAGTCACGTTTCATTGTGGATTCGGAACCACACGGCACACGAGCGGAGGGGGGTCGTTCATGCTGCACTGGAGAGTTTCCCTGTCTGGTCAGCCTCTGCTGCGGTGCCTGCGACTGCTCCAGGCACTCGGTGATGGTGCCAGCGGCAGGGCTAGCGGCACAAGAAACACTCCTTTCTTGTATGAAACCTCAGTAAAATCACAGTTCATCTCAATATGAGAAAGGACTGCTTCAAAGGGTACACCGATTTAAAGAGGCTTTGTTACAGCGAGAGAGAGCGAGAGAGAGAGAGAGAGAGAGAGAGAGAGAGGGGGGGAGGGTGGGAAGGGGGTTGGGAACTCTTCTGGAATGTAGAAAGGTAATGCTTAACTATACAATTCATGAATCAAACAGAACAGTTTTGATTTAAAAAAAAAAGGGCAAGACCTGCAGTCTTACAGATGGCTCAATTCAAAGTTATCCCTCCAGGAACAGGGACTGATTTCGTGTCTTTGCGACGGTGGAGTAACAGGCCAGGCGCTCAGAGCTGGGCTCCAGGGTCCTCTCTGCTGGGGCTCAAGCCTCACTCTCAGGATACATCGTCCTCGGCAGAAAACGCATCCATGCAGAACAGGAGTGGGTTGGCTGCTCTACCTCACTCATTTCCTTCTTTCTCCTTCCCCTCCTCAAACAATTCCTTTATTCCAGCAGCACTATTCACAAACCATGCTGCAAAAGCCTGGCTTTTATATCTCCTTTTTGTTTGTCTGTTTGCTTGTCTAAAGGAGAACTGTAAGCAGACGCTCCCTCGGGTTACAGAGTTGTGCTGTTCAACAAATGAACTTCCTCTTCTGCCTCCTCTCTCTCCTCATCCGTGAGATTCAGTTGAACATGACTGAGGCGGGGTCTTGGTTTGCCGTCTGGGCCATATGACGGAGGATATCTTTTTTTGTTATAATGCCAAGGAGGCGCCTGAAAGGGATAAACAAAAGATGGCCATTAAAATAAAAGGGAAAAGAAAAAGAGAAGCAACATTTACAGCTAAATCCTTTTTGTTGACAGCAAAAGAGCAAAGCAAGCAGCCTGTGTTTTTATTTTCAAAAAGCATTTTACTGGTAAAGATAATCAAATTATCCAACAACCATTCTTTGATATAAAAAGTAGTATGGTCACTAATAGTACAATGTCCTTTCCACTGAGACTCTCATTGAAGTAGGTCTATTCTGATTAATGTATGCCAACGAAAAAGTAACAAAAAATGGATGTGTGAGCAAGAAATGATACTGGTCCCATTTGAGAAGGAATATTCATTTCCATGACACCAACAAAGCAGTAAAGTGTCTGATGACCAAATCCCCTCAATATTCCACTTTTTTTAAAACCAAAACTAACTTGTAAAAAATAGAGACTGCTCAGTTGTATGCAGAATCTTTGTGAAAACACATACAATTGAGATAAAACAGTCAACACAGAACTTCGATCGCAAACTTCAGAGCCCCAAGAATAAATCTATAAGACAACACAAGTTTCTAGTACATTCATCAATGTTTTCCTTTTTTGATTTTGACCAAAAAAGTTAAGATACAGTGTTTTTACGAAAGTTTTAGTTGTTAATGCTTACATTAAAAGATAGATGAAAAATCAAGAAGCAGTCCTAAAATATTATTATAAGTGAAGCACAAAGCAGAATGACGAGTAGCTACTTATTATTCTGGTTAGTAGTTTTTAAAAAGGATGCATGAACAACTTGTGAAATATTAGCATACAACAGGAATATATCATCAGTTGTTTTTCAACCAAACTGGGACAAGTTTTATACAGGTATGACAACTGCAAGGCAAAGTAATTTCAGGCATCAATTGCTAAAGACAGACAACTTTTAGAAGTTAAAATAATAATTCAAAATTTACCTTCAGTCATTAAACCACTAGGACATAGAGCCAGGCAAAGCCAATGCATCTGACCCCAAAAGCTGCTTACGGCAGTCTAGCAGCCATCTCACACAGGGGCACACACTCGTCTAGGTCACCTCACTAATGGAACGGCAGGACACACATCACTGACTGGGACAGTGTGGGACGTACAGAGGGTACAGCAAAAAAAGGACTAATGCTATGATCATATATAGATATATACATACACACATATACGTACGTATACACACACGTACACATTAAGCTCTAGTTAGTGTGCCCATAAAAAAATCCATTTAACTGTCAGCAGTTCTAACATTGCTAAAGCTCAGTTAAAATGATTTATGAGCTTAGATTTATCACAATATCAGAAAACATCTTTTATTTAAAATGGGGGGAACTGGGGGGTGACGAGGTATGCATTTTTAACCAGTCCGGTGTCCTTTGAGACTGTTGTGACTGCTACGGTAGACAGAGATACTGTGTTACTTTAAAAATGTCCAATGATACTCAGTCAACTACCAATTCTTTATAGTTCTTAAATTGCAACTAATGATTCTAATGAAATGTTCACTTTTGTTTACATCCCATGAATGGAATTCACACATTTAAATGTATCTTACAGACATAGTTTATGAGATGTAAGTGTGATTGGCAGCATGTAGGATTTTTTTGTTTAGCGGGTATCTGGGAAAGAAAGAACTGACAGTTCACAAGTTCCATGCTTCCTGACTCCTAGGGTCTAGGAGGAGAGCTGATATATCTAATCACCAAGGGCTCGATGCGCTGCTTTAGTTGCTCCAGATGTTCTAATATGTTCTTCTTTGTGATGATCCCCAAGACAATCCTGAAACAGATCATGTTATGCTAATAACTGTGAGAAATTAAATTAAAAGAGCTTCCAATCATAATGATAATGAGAGGAAAAAATAAAAACATGAACCATAAGAATGCTTTTAAATGAACTTTAGAAAAATATAAACAAAAATGACTTGAAACCCCCAGTGCCATTTGCATAAATTCTATTCACTTTCAAAAGTGACATACTGTTATTTTTAAATATTGCTGGGTTGTTTTCCTTTTTAAATTAAAAATAAAAATGATAAAAAGTTCAGAGTGAAGATGACTACAAAAAGTCCAAAAATATTAAAATTATAAAATTTAATATAAATGAAATTGTAAAATTTAAACAACTATAAAATTACAAAATTGTTTCATTTTTCAGTGTTCCTTCCTTTGAAGAAATTATTTTTCTATTATCTAAAATGCCACAATGCAGCAGCTATTTTGTGGATCTACTTCAGCAATGAAAAGGTAGAAGTCTTGGCTTTTATTACCTATAAAGAGATTCAAGCAATCCCTTGGATTTTAGTATTATTTGGAATTAAAATGGAAGGGAATGTGCACCAAATAAATAATGCTGACCAATACAAACACTCCCTAATTTTCAGGACCTGCAAATGCTACCTAATAAGACATATTTAAGGTTAGGGGTCAAAGTGACTTTTACTTTATACATTTTTCTTGAAATGATTATTTCTCCATTAATGTATCATTATTATAACATCAAGTAAAATAATGGACATGTATTTTCATAAGGATACTTAAACATAATTAAACTTTTAATTATTAAAACAAAATATTGGTTACTGATTTTATACTGAGAGTCAATGAATTCAACTACAATATATGGCAATATAGACAGTGAATGTCAAAAACCTTAGAAAGCTTTTAATCATTGAATTCTGGAAGCCCATCCAGATGCCCTTCAGAGTAACTGAACACATCTCCCTGGTGATCAGGTTAAGTCCATTAAACTGTACTATTAAACTGTCTTTGAACGTTCTGACTTCTTACCGGGGTCACCAGGGGACTTCGCTGAGTCAAAGCAGGCTGGCCCTACAGATGTGGCAGTTATCAGTTACTTCGGGTGACGGCTGGGAGTGGAGGTGGGGAAGCGGGGAAGGTGGGGAATGAAAACGGCATAAATAGGTTCTCTGCTAATGTTGTTTCATTATTTTTGCTTAATTTATTGATTTTACAGAGAGAGGAAGGGAGAGGGAGAGAGACAAGGGGGAGAGAGAGAACCAGGAGAAGAGACAGCGAGAATGAGACAGAGAGAGAAAGAGAAACATCAGTATTTGTTGTTCCACTTACTGACGCATTCATTGGCTGATTCTTGTGTGCGTCCTGACAGGGGATCAAAGACGAAACCTTGGTGTATCGGGACAACGTTCTAGCCAACTGAGCTACCATTATTTTTTAAACACAATATACTGATCACTGAGAACAAAGATAAACTGAAAAGTCCTCAGAGCATGGGAGCAAGTCCTTTCTCCAGAAAAGCCGAGACACTGCATTACGTAAAATATAAGCACTCAGTCATTCAGCAGATGTTCTCCCGACTAAACATTTGAGGTCAAATAAATAACAACAAAAAACCCTATCAATTCACTTGAATTTATACTTGTAGTCAGGAAATGTGAAAATCTTGACAATTAAAATAATTCCAGTCTAATTCTTATTTACTTTTTCTAGCCAATTATATACAAGAATTAATTTCAGTTAATATGTTAGTAGGCTCTGCCAAATCATAAGGTACACAGTGAGAAAAAATTATACTTTTTAAGGACCAAATGGCAAATTAGAGATTTACAAAGCAATGTTTATATTTACAAAGTAATGGCCCTAAAAAGGTGGAAATAACATTTCCTCTCTTTGGTTAATAGAGAAGAGTGATTTGAGAATGGTAAGGCCAGGTTCTGCGCTGCTTTGTGAATTTCAGGAAGTGTACAGAAAATCGATGCAACGTGGGACTCATATAAAGACTAAGTTACTGTTTCCTTGTGGGCTAACAATGAGAGTTAACAGAGCATGACCCAACAGCTTCCCAAAGTGTGTTCCAACACCAGTCAACGAGAGTTCTGCCCCCTTCCCTCCTTCAAAAAAAAGGTCTGATATTAGAGCAAGTTTAGAAAACTGTTTCTATTATTCCATTTCAAAATCAAATAATATCAACATTGTATAAGTTCTATGAAGTTTCATAGTAAATAAACCTCAAATGTATTTAATCCAATATTTTACTAATTTATATGATCACAAAACTCTTTTGGAACAGTCCTAGTAACACCCCGCTACTTCCACCAAGACTGAAAGATCCCGAGAAATTGTGCTAATTAAAATAAAAATGTGGGAACATCTACAACAGACATCTTTACAGACACACCGTCCCCTCTTATCTCCCTGCTCTCATCTTCTCCTTCCACCCACGGTTCCAGGTTTGTTACAGCTCCTCCCCCGAAGAATCAGTTTCCACCTCTGACAACCAAGTGTAAGCAACTGTCTAGAATATCGCAGTCCACACAGACAACCCGAAGATGTAATTTCTTTTCGGGTTTAAGTCATTTAAGTGTAAGTAAGAATACTTTCTTACATATTTCAAGCCAAATGTCCCAGGAGCCACCACCCCGAACGATCTCTTTTTTTTATCTATCAACGTTTATTAAAGGACAGAATAAGGAAAGTATAATCAGTGCAATTGAACATACTCTTTCAGAAAAATCCAACCCCACCGGAAGCTTTTTTATAACAAGGAAGTATCATAAGATTTTAATTAACTATTCTCCCCTTCCCTCTATTTCATTATTTTCACACTTTCTTCTAAATATTTTCCTTTCCAATGTCAGTGCTGCCAAACCCCTGAGAATTAATCAGCAACAGGAAATACAATAATTAACTCACACAGCTTTGTAGTCACAGTTAATTAATCATGACTACAGAATGACAGTATATTTATTTGGTAGGACATAAAAGGACAAACCATTCCAGGCATGGAGAACACCTCAAAGCAAGTAAAAGTTTGTAACAAGTCACCTTAGCTTCCACTGAGCCATTTATAATTAAAAAGGCCCAAGAACTGGTAAAGCTTTATGAAAAGTTACTCCATTTAACATGTTTTCATTAAGTTTTTAGTCAGTGAAGTTTGGCACTATTATTTTTAAAGTTCAACAACATTAAAGAAAAAAGTTCTTTTACTACATACATCTCTTCTCCAATCGATACCTGTGATATTTAATAGTTATGATCTCCCTGCCCTTAATCAAGACCTTTATCTCTTTAATGATTTATTTCCTATTACCTAGAGTTATTTTAACTGGTTAGCCAAAACGTTACACATGGATCTAATTCTCTAGCTTTTATGTCTATTCCTCACAATAGCGTCTAATATATTTTCTAAGAAAACAATAGTAGTTTAAGAAATCACAAAGGAAGATACATTCTATCAGTCACTTACGGGTAAAGCGATAGCAAGAGACTGGGTTTTAAAATTGGAAAGCTATTTCGTTCCCTGATCTCTGACTTGCTTAACACGTGACTAGGAAGTTATGAAGCCTCTTCGAGCTCAATTACTACATCTGAAAGTTGGGGATACTGCCACCTGCTTTGCAGAGGGACTGCAAAGTTAAATGAGAAACATGAAGAAGGTGTTTATTCATTTATTTATTTATTACACAGAAATTTTCTTTCTTTTTGGTCCTTCTTTCTCCTTCCTCTAAATAGGAGTCGTGTGTTCTGCACAAAACGATGTTTTAAAAAACCTGCTGTGATACTCTGAAGTGTTTTGCATTCCATTTCACCCTGTGTCTGCAGTTTATGCACAATCCTTCGCTTCTCATTTCGATCCTTCCTGTTATCAGCCTTCAGGCAGAACAATGTTTTTAAGTATTTCAGCTAGGAACAGTAATACGCTGGGAGAAGGGGGGCTGCAAACAAAGCCCAGTCAGGAGCAGAGGGCGCATGGGGGGCTGTGACTGAACGCGTCCGCAGCGACATCCTGGCACCCTGTGCGTCCCTCCCCACCCTCCCTGTGACCTCTGCCAAGCCAGATCGTCCTGTGCTCCCATCCTGGAGAGACGCTGGCAGTTCATGTGTATAAGGCAAAAAGTAATCGATTTACACGTTTAAAATACGTAGTATTTGTCATTAGCAGTTTATGTAAAAGGTTTGTGAGAAGAAACAAAGCATCTGCTAAAGGAGGTTTTCCACTAATTTACACATTTCATTTAATTACACATTATTTCTCTCATTACACGACAAATTAAATAATGGATGACACAGTAAACAGCCAAATATCTAGAAAATTATTACTGTACTAGAAATATATGGTCTAAAACGGAAATCCTGACAGAAAGAAACAGGTGTTTGCAGTGGTTCATGCAGGGCAGGGCCACTACTCAGCTAAGGAAGGGAACTGCTCAAATACCACGTGCATGCTGGCGTCTCTGCCAACCCTCAGGTGTTCCTGACAAATGTCACTACATTTGTGGGGGGTGACATTTCTCTTACTCTTTCTTAAGTGTCAATCTGACTGATCTTTATTTATAACCAAAGTAAAAGACACACGTTCCCACTTGGGAGCTGATTACACTCCCTCCTCATAACTGCATATGAATTCCAATAAAAAGGATTAAAAGTTCTGGTAAGTGAACTGCCTTTTTTTTTTTTTAATGAAACTTACCCATTGTGAGTTACAAGGCACTGCCTCAGACCCAGCTTTCGGAAAATGTCCACCACGATCTCCATGGGCGTGTGGTCTGTCACTGTGAACGGGCTCATGTCAAGAATGCTGCGCAGCTTCAGGGGCCGGGGGCTTTCTGCCGGAAGAGACGGGGTGTGCTGGGCAAAACACACACGGGAACTGCCCACGATTCCTTCTTGTTTTTTTCTTGCACTTTCTGAAGAGAGTGAGAAGACCAGAATTAAAATGTGATAGGTTGTATTGTAAATGCTCATTCAGAGATTAAACAAATAAATGCATCCATGACTTTTGGTCCTTTCGTTTTTTTCCCTTTCTCCTTAACCAAGAAAGGAATCAACTGAACAGTCACAGTAATTTCTTATGTTTAACAGAATCAGAATCCACGACAACAAATCATCTCCACATAAATAAAATATTGTTGGTATATATTTTATGGAGCTAAAGCTGTTCTCCAAGTTTGGGGGGTTAAGGAAACATGGTTGGAATATGAGATTTTAAAACCTGCACAAATTAGAGAAATCCATCATGGAATACACCTGCTGTGCTAACAGCCTCTTGTCCTACAGTGGAGGTGGGACTAAAGAGAGCTTCATCCTTGCTTTGACCTGCATGTCACCACTGTGAACTAGCTAGTTCTCTCTTTTTTCTAATGTTTGAGTTTAATATTCTAGGTGAGTCCAGAGCACTAAGAGGTGGGTTGAAACTATCATTATTTGCAAAGGCTGTTAACTGCTCCCTCCAGTGAGCTCTGCTGCCTACGCCCACCTCTGAAAGTGCTAGACAGCGGTGAAGATGCAGAAAGCTACAGAGGAAGAACAGAGGCCATGGAAACAAAAAGGAAAACCATGAAATGGAGAAAATACAAAAATAAGATAGCTTTATGCTTCTATTTTGAATTAGTGTATATTCAAAACTACCCTTTAATAAGGTATTTTATATGTTATAGACATATAAAACCTTGCATACAGGTCTACTTTTACCATTCAAAAACTTGAACTTTACAAATATAGGTGGGTAAATACTTAAGGTGAGTTCGAAAAGTCATGTGGCTAGCACTTCTGATGACGTGGCTTGATCTCACATATCACGAGTACCACCTCCATTCCCTGACATGAATGAATACCATCTGCTAACTCAACATTCGATTTTTTAAGCCAGAAACAAAACTAAAAAATACATCCGCTGAATCAGGGGGAATGTAATTCTTAACTCCTTCTTAAAACCTGGAGCCTTTCTTTAATTTCAATGGAAATTCCAAAATTCCTATCTTTTCTGTTTCTTTGCCTGGCTACCATTAAAACCTAAAGAATGGGAATCTAAACAACAGAATTCTTCTCTGACTGCAGGTTTGGCCATGGTGATGGCATAGAAGCTAAAACACTTGAACAGAGACAAGTCTGACCGCATATTTTGCCCAGCCTGGCAACTACTGTGTTAAAGCAAAACCTGGAATGATGGGATTGCCAGTTTTAGAAAACGTCTTCCAAAAATGTAAGCCTTTTCCTAAACTGAGTAAGATACTAGATACTCTCTGCAGGCTCTTTCTTTCTCTTCCTCCTCCTCTTGTCCTTTAATAGCTCTTAGAAACTGAGTTTCCAATCTGATTTGAGAAACACTTCCCATCTATACTGCGCAGTCTTCCCTCTTCAAGTGGAACAGGAACTGAATGTTTTACTCCCCTTTTGCAATGGCCACAGGGACAAGTTAGAAGGGAGATGACAAGCTCACAGAAGTAACTACTGGAGACAGACCAAGTGCTGGACTGTCAGCTCAGGGTCCTCTAAAAACTGCAGAGTACCAAAGCAATAGCTTGATGAAAATATTCTCTATCACCTCTGGGGGTTGAGGGGAGAGGGGCTGGTCTCCTGATTAAGACTCTAGTATTATTGGGTAAGAGGAAAAAATAATTTTGGAGGAGCACAATTGCTTCCTTCTTAGAAAAAGTTTACTTTATCTCCATGAAATAACATAGTATAGCTGATATCTTTAAATGATATTTTCAGGAATCTCAGCCCAAAATACAATAGCAATACAGCTGCAAATACCATAGCAATTGTAATGACAATAGAAAATACAATTACTTCCATACCTTTCAACCTGACATTTAACCAAAAATAAAATCTCAATGATTTTCTCACTTTGCATTAAATATTAGAAGTCAATGTTGTAAACCTTAATCCAAAAACTAAGGAAGTAAAACCTTGTGAATCTGAAACAGACCAATGAATATGGGATTTTCAGTGACTTGCACTCAAATAAGCCAACTTTATGAAATATGAGAATGTATTTAGCTGGAAGCCCCAGCACTTGCTAAGGCCTTACATAACATGTTACTCAAGAATAATATCAATTTAACAAGGTTTATCTGAGTGGTAAAAAGGAGTATGACTCCAAACTGATGATAATGCCAAGTCAAAAGATAAAACTATTTTTAGCAAGAAAACAATCCATGGAAGCATACATTCCTTTCCTAAAGAACATAAGACCTCTGCCCCCACCAACCCAACCAATTAAATTTTATTGCTTTCCTTTCTTCCAGAAATCTATTATATATCCATGTCTATCTACCTAGATACCAATACATGCAAGTGTGTGTGTATGTGTATTTTTCCAAAAGGTACCTATTGCAATTGTCAGATCTCTTCTGAGGGCAAATCCCACTAATCTCTGAGATTCTTTTGACATGATGACAGGGAAGCCATTGTAACTGGTTTCATTAATCATATTTTCTATGTCATCCACTGTCATATTGTCCTGGGTCAGGACGGCCAAGGGAGGATCATTCCTTCGAGGTCTCATGACATCAGCAGCCAGGGTGGTATGAGTGAATTCTTCTTTTGCATCCAAGAAAGGGTATCCATTTAACCGAATGTGCGCTTCATAGATGCCTTCCCTACCAAAGGCGTCTCCAACCCATTTACTGGTCATTACTGCGGCCATAAGGGGAACAATATACTCCAGGCCTCCAGTGAGCTCAAAAACAATAACCACCAAAGAGACGGTCATCCTTGTCACACCACCTGAAAACAAGAAGCACCACTGGTCAGGAGGAAACAGATCCACATCCGTACATCCTAGTAGAATCTGTGCACCAGGCTGCTTGACATACATTGTCAACAGAACTTAGTGAAAGGGATTATCATCGAAAACTACTATTAGGACAAGTATCACTAATTAATAAGTAGGCAGAAAATAGATGGGGGGGGCAAGAATAGTAGGGAAAATATAGAATCTAAAGAACTTGAGACACATGGTCATAAACTAAAGGGAGGGAATGGTGGGGACGGGGGGGTAGGGTGGAGGGGAATGAAGGGGGGGAATAGAACAACTGTAACAGCATAATCGATAAAAAAATAAATTTAAAAAAAAGATCTAGAAGAATGCCAATCATCTTTGTTTATAACACAGAAGACTTGAAATAACATTTCAAAACCTGTTTGCTTCATATAAAAAAGAATACCTGTCCAACCAAAACAAATATGTCATTTTGGTTACAGCAAAAGACATAATTTCTCCCTTGTAAAAGATTATTATTGATTCTTAAGGAATCTGGTGAAGCACATCAGAGCTATCTTCTTCACCACTAATTTATACATTAAATTTATGCATGGGTAGAATATTAATTTGATTTATCTCTCTCCTAAATCTTTCCAAAGTGAGTAAAATATTTTGATGCTTTGTGGTTCATGGTAGCAGTATAAACTCTCTTCCTCGGAAAACTCATGTGTTCATTCACCCAAATCACCAGTCTGAACCGTCTTCTCTACGTGGATGATTCCCCGACACCTCTGCGTCTACTGCTGCATGTGTGCCCTGTCTCCAGCTCGGCAGGCCTTATCTTGTGCTTGTCTCGTTTATCTGTGAAAACACCGTCACAGAAAGCACTACACACTAAACACTAAACTCCTCTGCTTCCCGAAGAGCCCCCACTCCAACTCCCCTGACTCCAACAGCAGGCATGACGTTCATCCTGACAACCCAGGTCATCGTTCTTGCTTCATCCCTTTACTTTATCCCAACATCTATGCTCACTGAGTCCTCTACGATTTGCTTTGCAAAAGACCTGTGGGCACCTTTCTCAACATTCTCACTGTTACCAACCTAGTCTGGACCCTCAAGACTTTGTTCCTTAATCTTAATACTCTTTTGTGTTCACCTCCTTAACTGCAGGCCTATTACCTTCAATCCTCTTTCTAAGCCGTGGTCCAGGTTAATTTTCCCTAAGTAATGCTTCCCCCATGTTGCGTCTCTGCACAAAAACCTACCAGGGTTCATCAGTTCATACTATATTAGGCTTAAACTCTTCCTTTTTGTTTTTTAACCTAAAAATAGAAGGGAGAAAGGACTTTTCATATACTACATATCTGCACTATGCTAGACATGTCCTGGTCAATTTACAAAGGCATTTTTAAAAATTAGTTTTAACTAAGCAATTGACACTATGCTAACAGTTTTATACACATTTTTATCTCGTATAATCCTTAAAACAACTGTAGCAGATAAGTAATTATTATTTCCATTTTAAAGATTTTTTAAAAAGTAAAAGAACTTTCCCAAAGTCATCAAGCTACATGTGGCAAAGCCACAACTCTGTCACAGATCTGGCCAATTCCAAACACGAACTCATCCTAACACAAATTGTGCTCCATAATCTGCTCCTTCTCAGCAATCCAACTCTTTTCCCCAAAATATTCAAAATGTACTCTCTTACTTCAACACTGTCAGTTCCTTCAGAGCCCCAAGATTATTAAATCTATTCCTATTCTAATTTCTTTGTCTTCACATTATCATAGTCTTCAACAAAGTCCTCTGTCCCTTATATTCTACTAATTTTTTAAAATAAAGCTCATGCTCTACCCTGCCTGAATTACTTCAGTTTTTTCTCTTGATTCCTACAGTTTTCACAGACTCTTTCAGCACCGTATGCAACCACCATCTATTGCTCACTAGTATTTTCTCAGTGTGGGTCTTGTCTCCCCAACCTGACTGCAGTTGAGGTTGGTCCATGTTTTATCCTTCTTTTTCTATCACTCAGTGCACCTACCAGAGCCATTAAACAGAAAGTGGATACTTAATAATACTTTAGTGAAAAATGATTCTGTCCTTCACCTGCATTTGATATTGCACTTCTGCAGATCAATAATTACTTCATATACTTTTGATCAACAATTACTTTTGATGCATGAACAAAAGTAAGTCAAATACTAACTATCATTAAATATGCACCCAAAGTTCAGCTGGCATGTTAAATATAAAATAACTACTTTTCATGACCAAAGGGACAATAAATAGACTTTAAGTATTTTTTTAATCTTCACCCAAGGATATGTTGATTGTCTTTACAGTAAGAGGAAGGGGTAAAGAAGGAAGAGGGAGACTTCTTCCCTCTTCCGGGGGGAAGGGTGGGGGAGGGATTGAGGGGGGAAGTGGAGAGAGGGAAAGAGAGAAAAAGAAAGAGAGAGAGAGAGAGAGAGAGGGAAACATCAATGTGAGGGAAAAACATGGATTGGTTGCATCCTGTATACATACCGACAAGGATCAAACCCTCAAACTTTCAGCAAACTGGATGATGCCCCAACCAACTTAGCTACCCAGCCAGGACTAGGCTCATAAGTATTTAATGCAAATAGTTTGCTTTTCTTTATTAATAGAGCAGTTACCTTTCTCATTTTGCTATAAATACACCTTAATGGAAGAAGGCTGGTAAAGAAATCTTTTACTAAGGCTAAAAATAAATCACTGCAGAGCACAAAGTAAAGCTATTCTGCAGCTTTGCTAGCACACTAATCTCAGGAACCATGCTCTGGCTGGTATAGGTAAATCAAGATCCCTGACACTAAAAAAAAACACAAAAATCTGCTTGGACAGGATTCAAATTAAGCCTGTGCTGTATGGAGATGTTTTCTGTTATAGAGCATTGCGTGGTATTACAAAAATGCCATATTAAATTTTTGCATTAAATTTTCAGAGACAAGTAAATAAAACATAATGCTATATAATACCATATAATGGTAGTACTGTTTAATTTCTGCTAAAACATTCTCTTCCTCTGTCCTGTACCCCTCCCTCACCCCAACCCAGTTAAGCACGAGCAGAGTCTTCCTCTGTTTTCTTTCAGATTCACAAGCACCCAGCACAGACAGGCACAGTGGCATTACCTAAGCACGCAGCAGCACCAACCATGGCATAAAGGCCAGGAGTAATGCAATCAGCCCCGACCTCACACCACTCCTTAAAGATAAACCAGTCATGGTGGTAATAGGCAAGCTGCTCCACGGCAATCCCCACAATCCTTCCTGCAATGGCCCCAATGGCCATGCTGGGGATGAACAGGCCTGATGGAACCTGTAACGAAATGAAGTGCTTATTAATCAGGCAGAGGTCCTCTACTTGCTTGCCTGAAATCTATGTTCTGTGGATTGCTTTCTCACACTTGATTCTTTTCACATTTACATAGCCAAATCCTAGTATAAACTAAAACTTTAAGCAAAATATCATACAGTATTTTGACAATTCCATCAATTACAAATTTACAAATCACATTCTCTAGACCAAAGAAAAAATACCCAAGGGTCATTTCTCCTTTACCTCAGGGGTTCCTTAATGCCAGTCCCTAACAAAATTTTCATTAGTCCATGTAAAATGTGAGACCAAACAAACAAAAAAAACCCCACAACAGTATGAAGAAGTATGAAGCACTTTCCATAACTCTAAATCAACTCGGTCTGAAATACTACCCTCTACTCCAAGACTATGTCCTTCCTATGTATGTTTCTATCAAATGATAGAAATACTAGATGCTATTCCTCTTAAGTGGTTCAATGTAAAATGGCCAATGTCATCAGTCTCCCAATGTTTTTTAGTGAGTATATATAGGTACATATATTTAATAAAAACGCGAGACTTCCGCCAAGATGGAGGCATAGGTGGATGTGCCGTGCCTTCTCACACAACCAAGTTTAGAGACAATTAAATATTAGCAATAGAAAACACAGCCAGAACACGGAAAATTGAACTTTTCGGAAGTCCGTTAACAACAAATTCTTCAGCCTGACCAGTAAGGGGCGAAACCAGCGGCTGGTGAAGCAGGGTTGCACAGGTCTCGGTCAGCCAGTCAGCCGGACTCAAGCGCGCAGAATGCAGACGCTCGGAATCCAGGCACAGGGTTGGACCTAGTGACTGACCGAGTGAGCGACCAGGCGAGCGACCGCAGGGGAGACACCAGGTAAGCGGGGCTGCGTGTTGACTGTGGTCGTGCATTTGTGCGCGGGTGGACAGGCGAGAGAGTGGGCGGTTGGACCGGGCCGGCGGGTCCCCACGGCAAGCGGCAGTGGAGGGCACTGCCATTTCCCCGCTCTGACCCCACCTCCACATACAGCGTCATAACCCAGCGACTCTGAGTGGCCCGGCCCAGGTGAACCACCCAAGGCGCAGATCCTCACCCACCTGTGAGAAACAGCAGAGGGGGTCGCCATTTCTCTGCTCTGACCACGCCCCCACATACAGCGTCACAACCCAACGACCGGGGAGTCCAAGGTGCCACTTCTCACACTTAAAGGGCCAGAACAGACCAAAAATGGCGCAAGAAGATCTCAAAGCCCCAGAGCCTATAGATCTAAGCAATGAAGAAATAGCAAAACTCTCAGACGCACAGTTTAAAACACTGGTGATCAGGATCCTCACAGAACTGCTTGATTATAGCCACAAATTAGACAAATATATGAAGGCAAAACTAATTGAAATGAATGGAATTGCACAGGAAACCAATAGCAATGAAAAGGAAACTGGCACTCAAATCAATGGAGTGGACCAGAAGAAAGCAAATAATGGCCAAACAGAAAAGAGTCAAGAAGCAAGAATTCAAAGAAATGAGGAGAGTCTTAGGAACCTCCAGGACATCTTTAAACGCTCCAACATCCGAATTATAGGGGTACCAGAAGGGGGAAAGGCACAGCCACCAGTGGAAAACTTATTTGAACAAATAATAAAGGAGAACTTCCCCAATCTGGCAAAGGAAATAGACTTCCAGGAAATCCAGGAAGCTCAGAGAGTCCCAAAGAAGTTAGACCCAAGAAGAAACACACCAAGGCACATCATCATTACATTAGCCAAGATTAAAATGAAGGAGAGAATCCTAGAAGCAGCAAGAGCTAAGAGGACAGTCACCTACAAAGGAGTCCCCATCAGACTGTCAGCGGATTTCTCAAAAGAGACCTTACAGGCAAGAAGGGGCTGGAAAGAGGTATTCCAAGTCATGAAATCCAAAGACCTACATCCAAGATTGCTCTATCCAGCAAAACTTTCATTTAGAATGGGAGGGCAGATAAAGTGCTTCTCAGATAAGATCAAATTCAAGAAGTTCATCATCACCAAGCCCTTATTATATGAAATGTTAAAGGGACTTATCTAAAAAAAAAGAAGTTAAAGAAACATGAACAGTGAAAGGACAACAAACTCACAGTTATTAACAACCACACCTAAAACGAAAGCAAACTAAAAGAACAGCTAGATCAGGAGTGGAAACATAGAAATGAAGATCTCAAGGAGGGTTAGCAACAGGGGAGTATGAGGAGGAGAAGGGGGGAGAAGGTACAGAAAATAAGTAGCATAGACAGTAGATAGAAAATAGATGGGGGGGGGCAAGAATAGTATGGGAAATATAGAATCTAAAGAACTTGAGACACATGGTCATAAACTAAAGGGGGGGTAATGGTGGGGATGGGGGGGTAAGGTGGAGGGGAATGAAAGGGGGAATAGAACAACTGTAACAGCATAATCAATAAAAAAATTTTTTTAAAAATAAAAAATAAAAACCCAATCCCCGCCTTTTAATTAATTTGCATATATGACATATATGTATGATTCTACTCATACATATGTCATATATGTGTGAATTAAAGGGAGAAAAAAGTTATTGCCCCAAATTTAATAAGGATAATAGGAATAGCAAACATCTTAAGCAACAGCATTAAAAGACTGACAGCTATAAACTGCTCTGCACATGAAATAAGATGAGCACACAGTGGTGGCATGTTGAAGAGTATATCAGGATCATGAAATGGATATGCAACTAGGAGGGACCAAAGTATGTTCCACACTCTCCTGCCAGGCAGAACCCCTTGGCCAGAGCGGTGGGGTCAGGACAGGGAGAGGCCTGCCAACTGCCTCTAGTTTCCTGCAGCTCAACTAAGGGTGAGAAAGTGGGGTTTACAGAAAACCAACTTACTATAGAAATAGGAGGTTTAACAACTCCTTTAGTTTGATTCACTAAAAAAAAGTAAAATTTCGAGGTTTTTAAAAATTATTTAAGTCATATTTAATTAATATAATGTGGACTAAGTACAGAGGACAATAGAAAAGAGACAGTATTTCAAAAATACCATTTCTATTTCATTAAAATTCAGCTGTTCTTCCACAAAATGTACAGCTGTGAAAGCACACTACCACCAGAGAACATGAACTATAGGTACAATAGTTTAAAGAAAAGGACTAGCGGACATCTGATTCCCCATATGCGTTACTGACAGTCGTATAATATATTTACTGATAAATCACTAATTAACAAATGCTATTCTTGCTTTTGTAAGTTCAAAAGAAGCTATGTCCCAGGGCATAAGGCCTTAAGTCCTTGATGGAAAAAGGCATGGTGTTCATGGGCCGAGTAATTTACCTCTTGATCTGAGGTGTCCTTTCAAGGTAACAACCTGTATCGATATGGCGAGGCAGAAAATCAGCTTCCTAAAGATATGGCTATCCTGATTCTGGGGAATTCATTATGCTATGTGGCAAGGAGGAATTAAGGTTGAAGAAGGAATTAAGATTGTTAGCTGACCTTCAAACAGGAGATTATCCTGGATTACTTTGGGTCCAAAGTAATAATAGTAATAATGAAGGTGTTTTAAAAGTGAAGAAGGATTTGGAAGAGTGAGTTGCAGAATGATGAGATAAAACAAAGACTGCAGCACCATTGCTGGCTCTGAAAGTGAAAGAAGAGCTAAGCATGTTGGCAGGCGGCCTCTAGAAAGCTGGAAAAGCAAAGACTCTCCCCTAGAACCTCCGTAAATCCCTGTGAACACCAGTGAGCCCATTTCGGATTTCTGACCTCCAGAACTATAATAAAGTTGGGTGACTTTTAAATCAACTAAGTTTGTGCTAATTTATTACACCAGCAATAATCACAAATTGTCTGACACTCCTTCTACTAAATGGAAGAGTGTGTGTCCCTCCCCCTGTACCTGGGGGGAGGAGGCTCTGTGACTGTCTAGACAAATAGATTACAATAGAAGCCATGCTACTTGACTTCTTCGGCCAGGTTAGAAAACGGTCCTCTTGGCACACTTGCTTCAGAACGCTGAGCTACCATGTAAGAAATCTAACTACCCAGAGACCGCCAAAATGGAAAAACCACAGAGTGAGATATTCTAGGAGCCCAGATGTTCCAGCCCCAGGTCTGAGTCTTTTCAGCCCAGGTGCCAGACAAGTGAATGTCTCTGAGACAAGCAGCCCCAGCCATGTCTGATGACAACTGTGTGAGACCAAAACATGCCCAGATGAGTCCTTCCCAAATTGCTGACCAATAAAGGTCAAAATAAGCAGTTACCTTAATATGCTAGGTTTTGGAGTAATTTGTTACAAATTAACAGATACTATGTCTCAAGCTTACCTCCTAATGAATTCTTTTATTCATTCCTTAAAATTAAACCCAAAAGATAAGAACTTTCTCAGGCAACAGTTATGAAACAACCACATTCACCTCTCATTCCACACACAAATTTTGGTCATGACCAGATTACCTAAACATCACCCCACATTGGCACTTACCTTGATACCAAAAGTGAATACTGTCATTATGATTTTAAATATGAGGGCTAAGCATAACTGCCATATAGCTGAATATACTCCGAGGCCTGCTGGACGGTCAGGAATATCATCGACAATTTTACTGGCATTCATGTCATTTTTGTAGTCACAAAGAGAAGAGGATTCCAGGGGCCCGCAGTCTGTAAAAAGCTCTCGAATCAGTTCACTGGTGTTCAGCCTCGTATATGGATTAGGAAAGGCTATCACAGCAGTAATGGCTGCAACAATAATGACTTCAAGGACAGGATACTTTCCAAATTTGGTGGATTTGCGTCGACGACACCAGGCAATATTTGCCCTAATGAAAAAGGCTCCCCAAAGCCCTCCAAATACCCCGAGGAGAATAAAAGGAAACAGTTCAAAAAGGTACCATGGTGTATGGTATTCCACATAAAAAAGAACCAGACGGCTATTTCCAAATGGATTAATGGATCGCAAAACAAATGCAGCAACTAAAGCAGCAAAAAACGATCTCCATAAAGTTTTAAGAGGAAAATAATAGCTAACCTAAAAAAAGGAAGAAAAATTAATGATATAATTTTATAAAATGTTTCTGATATGTTATAACTTAAGTGGTAAATATCATAGCTTTAAATTTTGCTACAGCTAGAATTTACATAGAACAGATTTTACTGTAGTGAGGAAAATATTGATTTTTAATTAACTTTGACTATCACCTCATTATACATTCACAATATCAACTAGTCATAAATGTCTAATAATTATTATAATACCTAACATTGATTTATTTTCAAAAGGAATTTCACTCCCAATCATAGCAGTTAACAGTAAAATGTGCTGCCACTAACTCACGTTACCTCATAAAGAAGTATTTAATTTACCTCTTCTGTAGTAAATTAAAAAGAATAGAACACAAACAACTAGAAAAGTTAATTTCAAAACATTCCTAGTCATATTTTTGTGTAAATATGTAAAGTCTTAAACACCAAAGAGAAAACAAAAACAAAACATTCCATAAAGTGACTAAACTTTCTTAAACACCAATAACTGCAACAGAAATAATCATACAAGAAAACCTTACAAAGATGATTTAGTAATTGATTAAAAATTTTAAAATAAAAAGGCTGAACTTTAGCCAACAGAGATAGACTGTTTTAAGTATTTCCTATGAAGTCAAATTCATACCTCCTTAATGTCAACAGTTAATATTTAACCATAATTAATGTTTTATACATAAATCATATTTTTAAAGACTTTTTCAAGGTAAGGAACATATACACTATGCTACAGCATGCTACCTGTTATGTACTAGTGGAAAATAATTCTATGAAAACAAATTTGTAAAATTAAAAATAAAGTCTGTACCTATTACACTCGATATAAAACTGAAAAATGTGCCAAAATATATGTGTGGTGGTATTTATACATAATTTTAGCTGTTGCTATTTCTTTTTCACGTACCTCTTCCAGGCTAAACAGAACTCCCCCAATCGGTGCACCAAAAGCTACAGAAACACCTGCAGCTGAGGCAGCTGACAGCACCTTAGAAAAAAATAACGTGGCTATTTCATGTTTTTATAATTCAAATAGATACCAAACAAAACTTCTTCCTGTTACTCAAATTTTTCAAACGACTATTTGGAATTTAACTCACCTCTCTCCCCTCCCCAAGCAAAGGCAGATTTTTTTTTTCTAAAAAGATTTTTTTACTTTTCTGCTTTAATTGAAAAGTTATTCATGTATTCAATATTCAGTCAAAAAACACTTGGGTGAGATATACTAACGTAACTGGGACATAAAGAAGAGGAAATAAATACAATCAACTTACAAGATGTTTGTGAAGACCAATGGAGAGAGTGGTAACTGGGATAGAATTTCTTCCGATTTTAGAGCTACATCATCGTCAATAGTTACTCTATTCTGAATCCTAGTAAAATACCCAGGGAACCAAAAGCCTACTGAGTTTCCCCGTATTTCCAGTGCCCTACGTCCTCTGAAAACACTGCCGCTGCCAGCAAGGAGAGCCTCACCCTGAAAGCACAAACAACGGCTGCCTCCTGACACAGTGCCACCAACCAGGACGGACACAGTGGAACAAACTCTCTCGTGGCTCTTCTCTTCAATGTCCTGGTCTGCCACCTGGCACTGCCCGACCCCACCACTGTGCAGGCAACCGCACACATTAATTCACTGGGCATTTGTCTGTAATTACTTTTCTAAGAGTCTTGATTCTTTTCACTACTTCAATAAATATTTGAGGCTACAAAAGCATTTCCTCAAACGGCCAATTTTTACATTTCTGAAAAAAAAATTAGAAATCACCCAAATTAAACTGTAAATTATTCACAGCACAAACTACATAGGCAGGTTTCTGTTTGGTAAATTAAAAATAAACAAATACTTATTTTAATTAAATTGTATCTGGCTTTAAGGATGTAGACTCTGCTATTTTGAGGAAGTCATGAGAGAAAATTTAATTTTTTTCCCCCACAAATGCAACTGCAGACAACCCAATTAACTGAATTCTTTAATTCTACATTTAATAGAATTTTATGATAAAGCTAACATCCATGAACCTATAACTCACATTTTAATCTCTTTAATAAGTAATCTAAGAATCATATAATTAAAAAATGTCAGCGGAGTGGGTATAGAAAAAAGACAAACTATAAGGTTTTAATGCATTCATGAACAAGGAAATGCTAGACATTTATGTACTAAGGTGATGGAATAAAATTAATGTCATAAACATTAATAATCATCACAGTGAGTAGTACATTAAAATTTAGGTGAATTTAATTTCTGCAACATTTTATAATAAATTACATTTTGCACTTACAATGAATAAATAAAAATCTTACCTACAAAATATCAAGCTATAATAGCAAGTAAAGGAACTGAACTGGGGAGAAACCAATATAGTTGTGTCTAGCCATTGACCCGATGCACTACAGCCTAGCTCGGGGCTTGCTGTGGACAAACAAACATGTGCTCACATAGTCCTAGGAGGAGGAGGAGTAGAGTAGTTCAGAGTATAGACTTTAAAGTGACTGAAAAGAACTTTTAATCCACACTCTGACACTCTTCTATGTAATCTTGGACAAGTTAACCAAGATTTAGTTTAGTTCCCTATCTATAAGTGAGAACAATAGTGCCAGGTTAATAAGATTATTGTGGAATTAAGTTTTAAAATGCAAGTAAAAAATGTTCACAGAATCACAAACAATAGTTAATCAATAATGTTAAGTATCTTTGTACAGGATAGTACTGAAATCACAATGACCAGAGATGGAACAATGAATGATGCTCTGAAATGTCCCACTTTTAGACTACTGCTAATAATGCAAGGACAATGTTTTAGTACTAACATTAAAATGAACTAGAATTATTTCAATTGAGGAATTAAACTAGTTTCACAAAAAATACTCCACTTTTTTCACTGCAGCATAAAAAAAAACAGGACGAACAGTCTCTTGTGCTAGGGCCAGAGACCCCTGGGTTCTCAATATTTGATGATATGTAAAAATATTGTACCTTTAAAACCCAATAGCTCTGTACCATCTAGGGCTGCAGATTAGACTGGGAAAACAGAAAGGGATTGGACCTCCAAAATCTAGAGCTAACACAGATGATTTCAGGAACCCACTTTCCTTCTGGAAAATATCCAGAGCCACCTAAAAACATCATGGAAACTCTAAAATATATAAAGTTTACAGCTCTCCTAGACGATCTCAGGCTGGCCTAAAAAATGGTACAAGAAACTGCCCTGAACAGCTGAATACAGAGGAATTCCTCTATCTCCTTTCATGTAAATCTCTGATTTAAACCCCAGGGGGCCTTAGAGGCCCTCAGAGCTTCCCCCTGGTGCCAAACAGCTCTCTGCAGATGGCACGCAACTCCCCTTGCATCAGACACCTCCTCCAGAGGAAAACACCTGTTCAGATCTCCCAACCCTGGAGAAAAGACTGATGGTGAGAAATAAGAGTATAAATAATATCGTGTTTGAGAAAACACTTCAGAGGAAGGGAGGTGTAATGCAAAGCAAAAACAAGTGGAAAGACCTTTGTAAAATTCAACTGGAATTGGGACACCATGTAGTCCATCTAAAATTTCTCTACAATAGACAATTAACTGAGCAGCACTGGGGATGGACTGTAGAAAGACATTAATGATTAATCACAAAAAGGAAAAGCATAAACAATTTTCACATTAAGTTTTTCATCTGAATACAAAATTTACCCATAAAGTGTGATCTTTACACTACAAACGTCTTCACTGAAATAAGTGTATATGACAGATATTTACATGTCAAATCAACTACAAAAGAGACTTACCTCCCTTTTTTTAGCTTCATTTGTGCTATACTTTGGAAAGAGGTAGGAGAAGATATTTCCACAGCAACAGGCAACATGTACCAGGGGACCTTCTTTTCCTAAACTCAAACCTGATGCCACAGCCAGTACTAATGTAATGGTTTTAATCATTAAAGTCCATTTTCCCAAGTAACCCCTGATGATGAATCCACTCAAAATAGTTTTAATCTAGAAAAGAAAAATCAAGGAATCTTAATTTGTTTTTTTAAAAACCACAAGAACTTAACTAAAGTAATAACTTGTTTTTTCTCTTGTTTTACTCAGAAAACCACTTTGCAAATTTTGGTGGACTATGAATAACTCACAATTATTTTTTACAGGTTTTAACAATACACTACATATAATAACTTCGTATTATATTCTAACACCCTTCCCAAGCAAGGATAGAAGACAACCCTGTCTCATAACTAAAATATCAGGCCACGTTAAAAGGAATACAGACCCTCCGAGGACTGTAATTACATAACCAGAATAAGGTGAAATTGAGCATTTGTTATAGGAATATAATACAGTTACATTTCAGACTTTCTGTGTCAGAAACAGATATATGCCTTCTCAGAGTTCTGTCATTCTGTGTGACTTTCACCTACGTGTCAGGAAGGATGAGTGACAACTGCTAAATACTGCATGACACTGCTACTTACTGAAGACATTCTGTAATAGACTTTAAAAGGCCCTATTTAGTTTTTATAAGAAATGCACGAGAAAAAGCTGATAAATTATTTAAAACAGAAAAAAGGAGGAAAGAATGAGTTAACATCATGTTCAATTCTTATAGTCTCCTTTACTGTGGATAAACAATAAAACCCAATGTTTGTGCCATTGACTCCCCATGATCAAATGTTCACTTTAAAGTATAAAATGGTTATAAATATTATCTTCTAAATTCAAAAATTAACTATGTAATTAAGATATAGTTATATACAGAGAAGGAATGTATTTAAACAAGTTCATAAGCAAAACATCAACTGACCCATCAAATAACTTTAGGTCACAAGATATTTTTTAGGGCTCTTGGGGTTTAAGTAAGTCTTCTGATATTTGTTTAGCCAAGTAATAAATTAGTGGTGAGAAAAAAAATCAACCTCCACAGTAAATGATGAAATGACTACAGGGAGGAATTTCTTTCAATGATGTTTACAATTAGCTTACACTTTAACTTTTCCTTTTCATATTACAAAAAAAAAACATTTCCCCAGAAAAACAACTGTTTTTCCCCTAAAGGAAAAAAGATAAGCATCTTAACAATTACTAAATGTCTAATGATACTAAATACTGCATGGCTTACCTCTGGGATTCCAGAGCCACAAGCATATGGAGCAAATACCTTTACCAGGGAAACTGCCAGAAAGGCAAAACTCAAGGCCCAGAAGATGTACATTATGTAGTTCATGATGTAAGAACCAGGACCCTAAAAAGCAAATAGTTCAATAGTATGAATTTAATTTATAGTGCACCTCAAATGCAAGCTCTTGCCTTAAGAAACTTGAGTGAAACTTGTAAAGGTTCCTGGTTTATTTCCACAATAATAAAAGGTTTATATAAACAAAACATTTAAGTAGAATCCAAAAACATATTTATATACATCTCAAGGAGCCTTAATCTATAATATTTAACGTTTTTCCTAACTTTTTCTTGATCCCTAAAATCTTGCCCAGAATCTCAGCTGTACTTCAATCTCTAAAATTCAGCTAAAACAAAAAAATGTTTTATATTTAAAAACATATCCATATATGATCATGTAACATTATACAACATTCTGACTCCTAAAATGTTACAAAGCATCAAATATAGTAAAATAACAATTTCAACACTGCAATGCCATGAAGAAAAATCTATGGATTTCTCCAAGGTACTTCCAGTTAGAAGGCTTATTTAACTAAATTTTTGGTAATTCATGTCCCAAATAATCGTGATGTAATATGTTAAGCAGTTTTAATAATCTGACTCGATAACAACTTTTTGTGGTTACACAGATCTTGCTGCATTTCTTTTCTACAACAGGAAACACATTTCACATCATAGTCCGGGAGACTCATGTGTGACTGCACAACTAATATAAGTTTTTTGAAACGATACTTATATTTTACTTGCTGCAAAGTATCCTCATATTTTCCATTCTATCCTATTACATTTCTTTCCTTTTTTTCCTTAAATACAGGTTGCAATCAATTATTACCTCATCTTGAGAAAAAGCACTTACCTCTGCCTGACCAATGATTAATTCTGCCCATGTTTTCCACTGTGGACATTTATCCCTCTCCTCAAATGTGGTCTCACTAGACCCCCAACAGCACTGCTCATGGTTGTACCACAATGCATTAAGGCAAATGCCCTCCTTTAGGTCAGTCATCCAATCGGCAGCAATGTCTATTAATCCAGCCAATGCCCCTACAAAAGCATGTTGGAGATGGTAAAAAATTAAGTCATTTTGGGGGAGTTAAGAACAATCATGTCAAAAGGGCCAAGGAAAAGAGGGGACTCCCTACAAATAGAGTCACACAGGAAATATCATGTGAACTTAAGATTTTCAAATCTTCGTTACCAATTTTTATTACCTTTTTAAAAACTGTAAATACCTATTCTTTAAAACTAAATTAAAACTAGCTACACTGCTCAAATTAATTGTAATTTTAAACAAAGATGTATAAAAGATACTAAAACATCTTCAAAAGACAGCTACCTGGCAAGAGGTTCACAAATCTGGTTACTGAAGTCTGAGTTTTTACTAGTATGTTTCAATACAAAACTTAATTAATAGACTTACACATGATCTCAATCTCATTAAAATTTAATGTCCATTAGAAATAATTAGTGAAACTCATAGCATTAATGAAATACTTTGATATTTTCATCTTTCTTAAATAACAAAAGGTCAAATATATAATGATTGCTTACTGACAAAGTACAAAAAAAAATACATAAATTTATGGTCAAAACCTAGGTCCTTCTCATCTGATAAAAAAGATCAATGAGTCACATACACACAGTGGCCACAAAAATTCTTGTGCATGTCACTCAGTGATATTAGTAGTTCCCTCTATCCTCTACACAAATTTTAATTTTTTCTCATGTTCATCTGAACAGAATCTTCCATGAGAAGCTGAAAGTCATTAAACAGTCCTTAATGTCTGTTTTCAGATCTTCAATGCTATTCTTAAAATCTCACATGTTGAGACTTTGGGGTTACTCTAGCATGGTGGTTGAAAGCACAGGCTCTTGAACTAAACTGCCTGGATTTAAAATCTTTGCTTGGCCACTTACTAGCTACAATATATGACCTTCGTCAAGTTAGTTAAGCTCCCTGTGCTTCAGTCCCCTCATCTGCAAAATGGTGATAACAATAACACATATACCAACATTTTCAAATGGTGTGCCACGAGAATTTTTAAAACATGCAATACCTGACTAGTTAGGGGCACTGACCTCTTTTCCCTTATACGGTCAAATAAAAATATGATAATAGCCAATACGACAATAGGAGTCCAGCATGAATGAATAAAAAATTTATCTATTATTTTGTTAGATGAGCAAAAAACATGTATTTGGGCGTGTTGCTAAATTTCAGTAGCTAGTTCATGTGTGCCACGAGAGGAGACAGGTTGAAAACCGCTGCTGTGCACCGTCAGACTCCCAGGCGGTTCACACACCCACAGCTTTGAGAGCAGTCCACGACATGAAGGGAGTGCTCACTAAATATCACCTCTTTATTATGAAGTCACCATTAAATGATACTTTATTCATCACCTAGTCCAAACCACATACTTCACAGATACAGAAACTGAGCCTGGAAAAATGGAAAAAAATTTTGATAGAGCCAAGATTTGACTCAGAAGCCTCCTACCTTCTAGTCTTATGCTTAAGTTTTAGAAGGAAAGAAAAAAATAAAAAATGCTTTAAAAAACCCAACAGTCCCTGAAAAAAATTGTAGAGAGGAGAGAGAACTATTTATGATTCTGTTACTCATAAGAGGATTGCAATAAAAACTTCTTTACCCGATGCCAATCCCGTTAGTGTTACGACCAGCCATCCTGACCATGCGTCATATAAACTTTTTGTCATTTCCCATGCTGATTCTTTCTTTTTGCTGTTGATCTGAAATTAGAAATGTTCATGCTTCATTTCTGAAACTAAAAATAGAAGCTACAATTATAGACTCCAACAATATTTCTCAGTTATTATACATAGCACAGTCCTTTCTACACTAAATAATAGGAAAGGTGGGTTTGGGGCAGAACCAATACCAGCTGCTGTACCTGTAAACCAGATGACAAACGTTTACCCAGAGACATGAATTTTAACAAGAATACCTCGGAACTAGAGAGCAAGGAGTCCACAAACCACACAAAGTCTGGCCCAGACTGGTCTAAATTATATCCAATTTAGCTTGTACATGTCTTTTATATTAACAGAAATAAGGCATTATAGCTTAAAACGTCTATCATGCCCTAGTCATTCTCTGCTCCTGGGAGTTAAGTGGATTATTACATTGTTTAAAAGGTGAGGTCAGTTTATAATGGTACCATGCCCATAAATGAAGTATAGAGTAGTCATATGAATAAACTGGGTATAAAATAAATTTATAGCCCTGGCTGGTGTGGCTCAGTGGATTGAATGCCAGCCTGTGAACCAAAGGGTCACTGGTTCGATTCCCATATGCCTGGGCTGCAAGCCAGGTCCCCAACAAGGAACACATGAGAGGCAACCACTAATTGATGTTTCTCTTCCTCTCTTTTTCCCCTCCCTTCCCCCATCTCTACAAATAAATAAATAAATAATAATAAATAAATGTACAAATACATTTGTAGATCTATAAACATACAGAATGAAGAGCTCCAATCCCACAGGTGGGGCTCAAGGCTCTCCATCCCTGTGTAAGGCAGAAGTGTTCTTGACTTCCGCCAAGATGGAGGCATAGGTGGAGATGCCATCCTTCCTCACACAACCAAGTTTAGAGACAACAAAATATTAGCAACAGAAAACACAGCCAGAACACAGAAAATTGAACTTTTCAGAAGTCTGATAACAACAAATTCTTCAACCTGACCGCTGCCTGCGAGAAACAGCAGAGGGGGCCACCATTTCCCCACTCTGACCCCGCCTCCACAAACAGCATCACAATCCAGCAACCTGGGAATCCAAGGTTCCGCTCCTCATACTTAACGGGCACGAACAGACCAAATATGGCGCAAGAAGATCTCAAAGCCCCAGAGCCTATAAATCTAAGCAATGAAGAAATAGCAAAACTCTCAGACGCACAGTTTAAAACACTGGTGATCAGGATCCTCACAGAACTGCTTGATTATAGCCACAAATTAGACAAACATATGAAGGCAAAACTAATTGAAATGAATGGAATTGCACAGGAAACCAATAGCAATGAAAAGGAAACTGGCACTCAAATCAATGGAGTGGACCAGAAGAAAGCAAATAATGGCCAAACAGAAAAGAGTCAAGAAGCAAGAATTCAAAGAAATGAGGAGAGTCTTAGGGACCTCCAGGACATCTTTAAACGCTCCAACATCCGAATTATAGGGGTACCAGAAGGGGGAAAGGCACAGCCACCAGTGGAAAACTTATTTGAACAAATAATAAAGGAGAATTTCCCCAATCTGGCAAAGGGAAATAGACTTCCAGGAAATCCAGGAAGCTCAGAGAGTCCCAAAGAAGTTGCACCCAAGAAGAAACACACCAAGGCACATCATCATTACATTAGCCAAGATGAAAATGAAGGAGAGAATCCTAGAAGCAGCAAGAGATAAGAGGACAGTCACCTACAAAGGAGTCCCCATCAGACTGTCAGCAGATTTCTCAAAAGACACCTTACAGGCAAGAAGGGGCTGGAAAGAGGTATTCCAAGTCATGAAATCCAAAGACCTACAACCAAGATTGCTCTATCCAGCAAAACTTTCATTTAGAATAGAAGGACAGATAAAGTGCTTCTCAGATAAGATCAAATTCAAGGAGTTCATCACCACCAAGCCCTTATTATATGAAATGTTAAAGGCACTTATCTAAGAAAAAGAAGTTAAAAAAAAAAACATGAACAGTGAAAGGACAACAAACTCACAGTTATTAACAACCACACCTAAAACAAAAGCAAACTAAAAGGACAGCTAGATCAGGAGTGGAAACATAGAAATGACGATCTCAAGGAAGGTTAGCAACAGGGGAGTGGGAGGAGGAGAAGGGGGGAGAAGGTACAGAAAATAAGTAGCATAGATAGTAGATAGAAAATAGATTGGGGGCAAGAATAGTATGGGAAATATAGAATCTAAAGAACTTGAGACACATGGTCATAAACTAAAGGGGGGTAATGGTGGGGATGGGGGGGTAAGGTGGAGGGGAATGAAGGGGGGAATAGAACAACTGTAACAGCATAATCAATAAAAAATAAATTAAAAAAAAAGAAGTTGCTGTTATAAAAAAAAGAAGTGTTCTCTACTGAATCTAGTGGAGCAGGCGAGATTAAGAGGATGTCAACCGGTTTGATTTTCAGGTCTCACTCTATTAAGACCCAAGCAGCCAAGTCTTCCCTCTCCTAGTACAGAAAATAAGTAGCATAGATGGTAGACAGAAAATAGATGGGGGGGGGGGGAGAATAGTATGGGAAATATAGAATCTAAAGAACTTGAGACACATGGTCATAAACTAAAGGGGGGTAATGGTGGGGACGGGGGGTAGGGTGGAGGGGAATGAAGGGGAGAATTGAACAACTGTGATGGCATAATCAATAAAATAAAATAAAATAAAATGTAAAAAAAAAAAGAATGTACTTGCAAAACTAAAACCCTAACCTTTTCTGTTTTACTAGGATGGCTGTTTCCGAAAGCCATCATTCCACTCAGATGTAGACTCCAATTAAGAAAACAAACAAACAAACAAAACTGAGACAGACCCACAGATGGAGAGCATGCTGGCAGCTATTGTGGGGAGAGGGTGGAGGTTGGGGGTCGGGTAAAGCGACTGAGTAAAAAAGAACAAAAAGAGAAAAAACTCATGGACAGGGACAACAGTGTGGTGACTGCTGGGGGGAGGAGGGGCTGGAGGAGGTAGAAGAGGGTAAAGGGGGATGAATGGTGATGGACAAAGACTTGACTTGGGGTGGTGAACACACAACAGTGTACAGATGCTGTGTTGCAGAACTGTGCACTTGAAACCTGCACAGTTTTGTTAACCAGTGTCACCTCAATTAGCTCAATAAAAAGGAAAAAAGCCACATTCTAGAAACTACATTACTATTAGGTACTACCAGCACACAGATAACATTGGCTAAGAAACAAGGGGGAGGCCTGAGCAATGTGCTCTGCCTAGGACTTCAAGTCTCCAGTGTCCCACAGGAGGGCTACAGCTGGAAGTCGGTGATCTGGTCTACTTAAAATATCTGGTCTATTTTAGGTCCCAAGGCCCATTCAAAAGACCTAGTAAGTTCTAAGTTAAACAACACAATTTTACTCCTTCTATTCTACTACCAATCATAGATATTAACCACTCTTTAGAATTGAAGGTGGATAATTTTTCAGAAATAATCTTTAAACTCATGCTGCCTTTTCTCAAAAATAACTGGAATGTTTAATAAGATGTTATTAAGTAAAAACTCAGGAATTTTTTAAATGTTCATTAATGTGTTATTAAGTAAATTGCAGTACATCTATGTAATGACAATTTCTGCAGCCATTAAAAGAGAATACGACAGATACAGTGTCACACAGAGGGAAAAGCAGAGTGGGTAAAAATGTGTATAGTATGCCACAGTTTATACAAGAAAGGTAAGTATATAAATACACATGCTTGTATTTTAAAAAGTAAAAAGATAAACCATAAGCATTTAAATGTAAACCATTACTCAAGAGGAAAGAGGCAATAAACTGAAGAAAAAAAAAAAGGGGGGGGGTTTAAAACAAAGTCATAGTATGTACAACCCTAGTGGGATAAACACTAAGGACAAAAAGTATCAGAAAAAAGGAAAAAGAAAACACTAAAACTCTTCAGTAGGCATACTGCTGGCGATGGTGTCGGTAATATTATTCTGAAACTGTTGTATGTGTACTGTAATGCAAATCAAATGACTATATGTGATGTGGAGATTTATCTCATGGATGAAAGGTGATCCAGATTTAAGAACTAGAGGTTAAGTAAAAGCCCTACAGTCCTGGATTTAAATGAGAAGTCTGCTGTAAACTTAAGAGGCTATCAATGACCAATTCAGAAGCAATAAGTATCTCTAGTGCCCACACTGTCTCTAAACCATTTTTCTCCAATGGAACCAGAGCTCCTTGGAGTGATGGCTGACTCCAGGTTTGGGGCAGGGAATATGCAAGATGGGCTAAAGATCATCCCATTTTTCTAGAATACGTCAAAGTCTCCTAAGGATGTGTCAAAGGATACATGCACCAACCAAAAGAAGCTCCCACTTGCCAAAATGGAATAACATCAATAAGTATAATAATTCCATCCATTCCATCAATGGAATAGACATCAATAAGTATAATAATTGTGATGACTAAGACACATCAAATATGTTTAAATTTGCAAGTGCATAAACATACAGAAACAAAAATCAAGCAAACAAACAAAAACCTCATCAGTCAACTTTGGAGATGCTTGGGAACCATATAATTTCTAACTTTTTCCTTCTGTCTACAATTTCACTTATGGACATCCAAACAATTGGTATGAGGAAGATTCTCTTTATAGAGATATGCAGGGTAATAAATAAAGAAATGGCAATCAGATTGTCACCATTTTGCAAAATACTGAAATAGTAGTGTATCTGAAATGTTATAATAATGTTGAATTGCTTCAAATACTGTGGTGCAGGAGGACCTACAAGTACAATAAAAGGTGGAGGAGGAAAAAAATTAGGTATATGCACTGACGTGGTTTTTTTAATGTTTTAAGAACAACAGTAAAAACATCTATGTGTAAAATTTCCCAGCTTAAAAAAATTTTATTAATATATGAGCAAAGATGAAAATATTAAAAACATTTGACTTATCTACAGAGATGATTGATATGATTAGCTATGACACTTACTATTTCATAAAATACTACATTATTTGAAATGTTTTCAAGGACTGTGGACTACTTTTATAATTGGAAAACAGGGGTGTGCTGTGGTTTCTTTTAGTTTCAATTTTCTCTAAAATTTTATGGGTATGGTGTCTTACAGATATTTTCACAGTGCCGCACTTTAAAATACATTTAAACCCCAACCTCAATATGCTACTTTTAAGTACAAATGTATTTACCTAACAGTGACATAAGATACAGGATTTATAGTGTGTCTGATTGAGGTTCATTCAAGTAGAATAACGGTTCTCATAGTGTGGGCCACAGACACCCTGAGATCTTCCCTAGGGGTTTTCAAGGTCAAACTTATCTTCATAATAATACTAAAGCATGATGTGCCTTTTGCATTGTGTTGACATTTTTACAGACAATGCAAAGGCAGTAACAACACTGCTGGCTCCTCAGCACAAACAAAGGCAGTGGCATTTAAATGCTACTGGTCATCATATTCTTCTCTGCCACATAACCCAGCAAAAAATAAGTGCCATTTTCACTTAAGAATGTCTCTGAGGAAGCTGTAAAACTATTGTTCTTCAATCACTGAGTCTTTTTAATATTATATGTGATGACATAAGTGTTCTGTCCCAAGAAAAGGCATCTGTGTGATTTGAGTCGCAAATAAACTGGACATTCACATGGAACACCTTTTTACTTGAGACACCAAACTATGGTTTTTCAGACTTACGAATTTCACAGGTATTTTCTCAAACATTAAGCCAAGTAAGCCTGTTGTTTCAAGTAAAATAAGTATGTATTTGTTTCCAATGATAGAATTTGAGCTTTCAAGTAAAAACAAGAATTTTAGAACACCTGTACCCATTACTGTAAGGATGACAGATTCCCAATACTTAAAAACTATCCTGAAGAGATGAATACTGAAATTAACAAATGTGGGGTTTTTATTATATTAAGTAACAAAAAGTTTCAACACTTGAAAGAAGTGCATAAATCGGTGAATCAAGTATCTCAAATGATCAATCATTGCATGATGTTAAAAATCATCTATTTAAAAGTTCAAGGTGAACCAGTGGATTTTAATGTAACAGAAGACAGAAAGTTCACTGATACAGTTTCAGATTACGCATGGCAACTAACCTTTAAGAAGATAACCATTTGTCATTCTGGTGCAGTATCAAAAAAGAGTATCAACAATGATCTATATGATTATTAAAATATCCCTAGCGTTTACAACTGTGAGGTTGCATTTTCTTCATACACTTTAATTAAAACATTTCAAAAAAGACTGAATGCAAAAGAAGATATAAGAACCCAGCAGTCTTTATTAAACCAGGCAACAATAAGATTTATAAAAATGTAACACAATGATGTCACTTGCTAAGTATTTCTTTTATTTTGTAAAATAGTTATTTTTCATAGTGTTTTTATGTAAATATGAAATGGGTTTGTTATTTTTACTTTTAAATATATTATTTTAAATTTTCTTAGTTTTCATATTTAATATAGTAATATCAATTAATATAACTACATATCCTAAAGTTCCTTAGGCATCCTCAATAATTGTTTATACTTTAGAAAGGACCAGAGACAAAAAAGTTTGAGAATCACTGGATTAGAACATTGATTTCATGTATTGTATCTTATTTTCAGTTACATCCTATTTTCTGTTTCCAGAAAAAAATATTGACTGGTGAATCTCAGAAGCTGTACTACTCATAAACAATATAATATAATTCCAATTTCAGGTTTAAAATCAATATATCCATTAATATTCAAAGTCATAACTAATGTGTACAAGCAGTTACTTTCATTAATGCAAGTAAACTTGTAAATGCAGACCCCAAAGTTACAAAGTGCTTTTTGGAATTTGAAATTTTACTGTCAAAGAGATTTTTTTCTCTTATCTTAAAAATAATTTATTTTTGGATAATACCAATAACTCACAATCAATACAACAAGACCCACAAGTTGTACTTTTTAGTAAAAAGTACTACTTTTTTGAATAGTGATTCATTACAATACTCAATATTAATTTGAGAAATATCTCAAAATTTAAAAACTGAAAAAAGGGAGAAAAAAGAAAATAAACATAAACCAAAAAAAGAAATAAAAGAGCAAAACCCCATAAAACTATCTCCCCAGTAAGTTTCTTCTTTTTGAATAAGGATTATGTAAGAAGTTTCTTTCCTCTTTGGCATAGCTGCTGGGCTGACCAAAGCCAAAAATCATGTAGACTTCCAAATCTTGAACTTGGCTTAATCTTCCCCCCAAATCATATGTGGTATCTTCCCTTTCTATTTTGTCTCACTACATACTTTTTTGTTTTTATTTTAAACTACCTCAAATCCTTTCTGGAAAGATGTGTGGTGTAAGTAAACTAAAAAAAAAAAAAAAAAAAAAAAAAGCTTAAATATACTTTAATGTCTGTCTGAGATCATTGGCAAAAATATATTACTAAATGATCTAATTATGAAATATACTTTTTAAAATCACTGAAAATACTTACCCGTCTATGCCTTTCTCTGTCTTTACATTTCTCTCGCACCCAGTCAATAGTATGGAAATCATCATATGTACCAACACCTGGAATTGGTTCATCCAAAAGATCCAGCAGGTGTGTAGAACTGTTAATGCTGCCTCCATTTGTCATTGTGTAATGAGTTCCTTCAAAGTAAAAGAGGAACAATGATTATGTTTTATGAGAAACAATGATGAACTCTGTGACCTTCTAAGAAATTCATTAGTAATAGTACCACTAGAAATAATTATAATAAAATAGAGAAAATGAAAATTATCCAAAATCTGGAAATCAGGCAAAGTGCTATGGCATGTTCTTTCAAACTCGTACTACAGTATCAAAAATAAGCCTGCCTCATAGATTCTAGTCCTAGCCAGCTAAATAACTTTGGGCAGGTCATTGTTAAATGTTAAATACCTTCATGAAATATGCTATACCTTATAAAGAAAAGAAGTATTTGACATTTTTCTAAAGCCCTAAAAACTTAAAAAAGCTGGTACATATTTTCAAATAGGTGGTTTTGGCATGAGTGATTACAAGTTACATCTTCAAATTATGTAGCATAATATAGGTTTTATGCCAAAAATAATTTAGAAGTGTAATTTTAATGGAAATGTAACTAATTTATATAGAATATAAAGAGTGGCACTAATGTTTAAACAAATATTGTAAAAATAAAACACAAGAAACCTGCTTATTTTACTCTATAACTTTAAGACTTGCAGTCTGATGGTTTAAAATGACTCATTCATGTTTACAGATAAACTATCATAAATATTAAGTCACTCTACAAAACTACCTGGCAAATTTAGAATCTGAACTTTCCCCAGTCACTATAAATGCTACCTAGATTAGAGCAAGAGATTATCATACATCAATCAAGGGAGAAGGGGAAGGGTGAACTGCAATAAAAGCAACTCTAAAAACTAACTTTATTACTGCTAAGATAGAAGCCAAATAAACAGTACTGCAGGTTTCTTGGTAATTCAAAGAAGCAATGGAAACTAGCATTAATATAGAAAGATTTAATATTTTAAACAATATAAATACTGAATATTGTACTACTAAACTTAAATGTCTATTTACTTCTACCCATTAAAACAGGGTACTCACTTATCTCTCTGTTCAATACATTTGAATATTTGCCTTGGAAAGTTGTAAAACTTCTAAAAGGAGAATAGTATATTGATTTCAATGTTTTGGCAGAAGTACTCCAGGAATAAATAATTTATCGTTCCTGACTGAGGGTTTAAAGGCCCAATCCCTGCAATGGCCCATGTTCATCCACATAAAACATACACTCTAAACCTTACACTTAAAGTGTCAAGTACACAAGCCCTCTGTTCCTCCCCCTATCCTGATGTTATTCAGGAATTTCACTGTGTAAAAACTAAAAAGCCACAAATTTTCTTAAGAGAAAGTAACTGGAGAATAAATAAATATAATAAGAGTGTGCATACTATCTTGACCAATCTGAGAATGAATCTCTGACTCTACTTTCCACGTAATGTAACTGGTGATTCAAAAAAATGTTTTTGGAGGGAAGTGTCAAAAGCCTCTATGGACTTCTGGTATGATGACATCACTTCCGTGGTACTCTAACCAAACATACATGAACTGAATCTTACAAGGAAAAACAAGATAAACGTAAACTGAAGGAAATTCCACAAAATAGCTGTCTTGCATTCTTCAAAAATGTGAAAGTCATGAAAGAAAAAGTTTGACTGAGGAACTGTTTTAGGTGAAAGGAGACTTTTGGATTATCATATCAGATCCAGGACCAGGATAAAAATGTTTTGGTTTTTTTTTTTCTCTTATATTAAAGAACACAGTGACACAACTGGCAAATTTGAAAACAACCAGTACCTTGGATAATAGTACTGATCACTGCCAACTTTCTGGTTTTGAAAACTGTGCTGAGGCTGTGTGTAAGGGAGTATAAGTGCATTATGTCTGCATCTCATTCTTACATGCTTCAGAAAACAATAATATGTGCACATGTATATCTATGCATTAGTATATATTATATATTACACAGGTAATAGCATATATAACATCAAGAGACAGAACTAACAAATGTTAACATTTCAGGAATCTGGTAAAGGGAACATTAGTTTTCAACATTTACCAGTCTGAAATTATAAGAAAATATTTTTTAAGTATACTATGAAAAAATGTTTTGAAAATGTACACTATGATATATTTTGCAAACTTCAAACTTTCCCCACTGTATACCCTTATCTGGTTAGAGTTTAAGTGAAAAGGATTGCTGATCTTAATTGTTACTCTTCTATGCAAAAAATAAAAAAGCAAAATTTCTATACCACTTCGTGTGCATCCAAGACAATGTTATCAGCCCCAATGTTTGCACCAATGTAGATAAATAGGAAATGAAGCCTGTATTCCTCCAACAGACTTTGGAACTAGGAAGTAGAAAAGTAGAGACTATCAATCTCATGTTTATAAGGTAGCAAAAGGTATAGCACCATCATAAACTTTTATATTAGCCATGCGTCTTGCCTTCAGTGACTTTCAAATAATTACTCTGTAGAAATTACCCTGACATCTAAACTATGTACAAAGTCCTGAATGAATGTATGATTTTGACCGAACATATAGCCCCCGCACTCAATCCAGTTCCTTCACAACATGCCCCATAAGCCTCAGCTCTTTCCCTTAACCTCCTGTGACAGCAACAGGAAACAATGGCCAGACCCTAAACTAATGGTCACAAGTTATCGCTTTTCCTTAAACTGAAGATAACACCATCCCTAAGTTATGTTTCAGTTCCTAAGTGAAAGGACCCCTGCCTGCGTCCCCATGAAACCAGACCGAGGGACCCTGAAGCTCACCTCACGACCTGAAATGGCGATTTGCTTCCCTTACTTCACTCTAGACTAATCACCCAAACCCCTTATTCTCCATGGCATGGTTTTTGCTCCATAAAGCCTCTCATATGTAAACCACTGGGACTTGGATATTTCGGAACATGAGCTCATCCATTCTCCAGACTGACATCAATCCTAATAAACTAGTTCTTTTCTCCCCTGAAAACTCCTGCCTGTACATTTCTTTGAGCCTATGTGTGCTGGCGGATGAACTCTCTTCCAGCTTAGTAACACACACGTGCATTAATTCTAAACATGTAAACACTAGAAATAAAAGACTCACACTTTTTAAACCAGAGGATCCTGTGATTCAATATATTATGTTTTGTGGCTTTTATGTTGTGTCCTTTGGAATTTCTAAGGCTGCCACTGCACATGTTAAGATGGAAATCAGCCAGAGCGCTTTGTGTCCCCAACAGACTGCTTAAAGGTCAGTCTGTCTGCTCATGCCTATTTACTTCCGCCTGACATAGCGATGAGGTTTGAAACCGTGTAGTATACAGGGAGATACTGATTGATCTTCTTGGTTTTGAGGGAGCCCACAGAAACCAATTTCCCCTCTACATTATTTCTAAAAGAGGTTTGGGTGCTTCTTATGGCCATTGCTATCAAATTGGCTTGGACAGTAAACAAGATAGATTTTGTTACGAAAATATAAACTTTTTGCTGAGATAGAGCTGATTAGAACATTTCTTGGACTCTGATAAATATAATTAAATGGAAACTCCAGGAAGAGGATGGCAGACATTTCAATCTGGTTTTAACCTTTCTCCTTTTGTCCTGTTTCTTGTTCATTTTACTGAATTATTACTGACAACTGAAAGGTATCATACCGAATGTAATGTCAGTAAGCATTTTTAAATCTAAAGTCTGTTATTGCAGAATTGCTAAGTAAAATTTAAGAATCAGCTGGCCAGTAGAAAAAATATTCAGAGCTGCTTTAGTTTATGTGTGACACTTCATATACTTTCTTTTACAGCGTGCTCTGCCAAACATGGAAATCTGGGCAGTACAAAAGAGAATAGGAGAGATTTGCTACCCTACTCTAAACTGGGCAGGGAACATTAACTTCTAATGGGAGCACAGGAGTGCTCCCATTATGTCCCACAGTAAGAGTAATTTTAAAGGTATTATGTTTCCTAACCTATCATTTCTTTGTGTATAGTTCATTGCAACCTAGATTTGTATAAAGTCTAACTTACATGTATTAAAATGAGATCAATACAAATAAATTATATGTGTTAATTAAAATGTTTATAAGCAACAGTACAAGTTAACCAAGTTCAGCTTCAACTTGATCTTATGCACGACTGAAGCAAATAATCTGTGCATTACCCCACAAGCACAAATTAAAGTTCTCTCGTGTATAAAATACAACTCTCTCTCTCTTCCCCAAATTAATATTTCAAGAATTGGTTAAACTATAACACGGCTTTCCTACAGCAGATATTGGAAAGGAGTTCTCGAAGGCCTAGAGGTTTATGGAATGAAGTGAAAGCGGTGAGTGAGGCTACACTTCCTTGATTACACCTTTCTTTGTCCTCAATAAACTCTCTTCTTATAGTGGAATTTTACTAACACAAGATGACATAATCTGCCCAGGACTTCCCATTGCACATGCGGCTCTCGCTTATTTATCTGTGAAGTCAGTAACAGAGACTTACTGGAATACTTTTTGGAACTATAATCAACATTCCCCACCCCACCACCCATTTCCCCCTACAGGTCTGGGAGGCAGCCACGGCCACAGTGACAGAAATACACAGCAGATCCTAGAGAACAAGATTCAGTAACGTGGCTCCTGAGTTTCAAATTTAGACTTTTGAATCCCATATAAAAAACAAAATCTTAAAAGGCAGTATCTCTGAGTTGCAAGTGATGGGCTTCTGAGTTTTAAAAGGTTTTATGTAAAAAGGCTTATTAGAGTTTGTACATGAATTAGTGTCCTTGATTGAAAAACAAACTGATGAAAAACCAATTCCACAAAGCTACATAAGGTTTGCTGGGGAAGTACAGACAGGAAATTGGATAAACAAGAGTTATAACAGACTGGCAAGTGGTTTCACCTTTAACATTTTCTATAAACAAAAAATACAGATGAGGTTATACTGGCTACACTTATTTATAAGTTTTTCATTACCGAGCATATTTTCATCACTAGGCATACTTTCTAAAGCCATCCCAAATCATTAAATACATATGCACATCGCTTTCAATGTCCTTCAGATTATTACATTTAAATGTTGGTACATACTATA